CCTAACTAGGAAGCTATCTATTTAAACTCTCTGGCTTCAACTGACATCACATGATTCCTCCTAATATACCTCCATATAGAGAGTAATTTACCGTTAAAAACCCTAAAACTTTAGCCAACAACAGAAGGCATTTATCCTTGTAGTAAACCTAACAGAGCGGTGCATGTCCCACATATGCGCTCATCTGCATGTTCGGTAACTTCTTCCTAACTAGTATCTGTTGTACTGCCGCCACCGGGTTCGTATCTCAAGCCAACTTTTGGGGTACTACCGTAACCCAATCTGTATCTCAAGTACAACCTTCATAATTAGTCGCCAATTACGTACTCCTGCCCTTGTAAAGTTCACAACAACCCCGGTACCCACGTTCTAACCGTTTTTTTACCTGGATTCTCTATCAGTCCATCTTTACTTCCAGCCGGCAACCTGGATGGGTTGGTCTGCCCAGGCTTTAGGTGCCTGAAGGATGCCCTCTCCTTGGTCTATACTTTTGGAGTATATGGTCTTTTCCTCTGGTGCGTCTAAACCAGCGGTTCGGCTAGTGTGTCCCTCCACTAAAGGACCGGATCGCTCGGTTCACCAATCTCAGGCCCCGGTTCAAATTCAGCCTTCATGTAGTACCGTCGAAGATCACTGCTACCTCCCAACTCGGGACTTCCCAAACGGGCTTCGATCTCCGGTCCTGTGACCCGTGCTATGCACAGCCCACAGATTACAGCCTTCCGGAATCACCTCAACGGTGCCACCAGACACCGTCTCGACAGATCCTCCATGGGCCAACCTTAGTGAAGATCGTTGCAGACTTTTCCCATATTACAAAAGCACCGTCTCTGGGATTTGAACATAGGATCTTCCCATAACGTTTGGTGAGGGTGACAACTAGACCACTTTACTAAATCGTCACATCTCTTCTAAATTTATATATTTACTTGCAAATGAGCATTAAATTGATATTAAATTCTTTGCGTTTCATTATAATTTTTATTTTTTATATTATTTTTCAAGAAAATTTATTTTGAAAAGCTCTAAGATTAAAAGTATATATATAAAATAGAGCAGGTGAAAAGCTTAAATTCATATATGAGCTTTTATGTATATAGTATAAATAATTAAAGTATACATAATATAGTAAATGCTACATGCATCCAAAATAAACTTTTTAACGAAAGTTTTTATAATTTAATGATTTAAATATGATATTAAAACTTTAAAGTATTGTTTTACAATTTGTACTACTTTAATATTAATATTTATAAAAAATATTTTGACCTTACATATGACTTTAAAATTTCGATTTATACACTATGTATATATGATCTGCGTCAAAATTTTTACTAGTTGACTAGCAGATCATCAATTAATTAAAATAGATATAAGCACATTATAGTTATAATCACATATTTGTGTATAACAAACTGAGTGATTATAGAGAAGGTTGACTATACTATATTACAATATCAAAACTATATATATACAGTACTGTATATTAAAACTAGATTATTTTATTCTTTTTTTAATACTGTAAGTATATACAGTATTTCTTAATATTTAAAAATTTATATGAGCCATTATGCATCGCTATGCAGAAGAGAGAACCTTGAAAATTTTTGATGCATATAGTGGAACAGTTTATTTAACAATACAATTGTCTGAAAAGATTGAGGTAGAAGGTTTATTTTGAACATTTACTCATAACAATAACAAAGTCAAACAATATGTCTCAATAGTTCTGGGCTAATAATTAGACGATAATCTAATGGGTTTTAAGATAATCTAATGGGTTTGATGCAAGTTCGTTATATTCTTATTGCATAATGATGCAAATCAAACCCTCAATAAATCAAAACAATCACCCTAATAATTCGTCAAACCAATCAAAAAAAATTAAATAAGAGGTTTTGAACACTATTTTAACTAATTTAGTGACTCTATTCAGGGCCCAAAATATGTCGATTGGCCCATATGTTAAAGTTTTTACTACAGTATGTAGCTTATATCATATCGGCTAATCCGTGAACTTGCTAATATCTTTTGATCTACTGGTTCGTTTTGGATGATTTAGCTAGCAAACTGTCCGTCTCGATGAGACGATTCTAAAGAGCCCAAAATCGCTAAAATCCAATCACAGGATCCCAAGAACGTTCAAAATTTGTGCAATTTTAATAGCGTTTTTAGAATTACTATGTAAACACCTTTAATGTCGAATAGCTTCTGATCTATCGATCCGTTTTGGATGATTTAACCGCCAAAATGATTGCCTCTATGAGACGATTCTAACAAGCTCAAAATCAGTAAAATCTGATCACAGGATCCTGAGATCGTTAAGGATCTGTACTATGTAAACAATCAACTGAGAAATGGGTTGTATATAGAACAACCCATTTCTCAGTTGATTGTCTACATAGTACAGATCCTATTAAAATCGCACAAATTTCGAACGTTCTCGGGATCCTGTGATTGGATTTTAGCGATTTTGGGCTCGTTAGAATCGTCTCATCGAGACGGACATTTTGGTAGCTATATTGTCCAAAACGGGCCAGTAGATCAAGAGATATCAGCAAGTTCACGGATTAGCCGATATGTAAAAAATAATATAATAAGAATGTCCGATTTTTTCTATATTTTGCAGTATGAAATTAAATTGGACTTTCAATCGTCAGAAACTACAGCAATAATACCGATATTATTATTAGTTTTAACTCGCATACTAGATGTGAAGTTTGATTGGCCGATTCTCAGCCAATCAAATTTCATATCTAGTATGCGACCAAAAAAATATTTATAATACAGTATTTAAAATCATCTGCACAATATCCTTTATAATTTTTTAAATACTGTAATAAAATACAAGTAACAGTAATGGTTTTGAAAGAATACAGAATAAATTAAAATACAGAATAAATTTTTAAATATACATTATAACCTTAGCTTTGCCATAACACTTGCCCTATTTCTGTATTTAAAAATATATTTTTATTCCTATTTTTTGTAAAATGAAAAGGTTTTTAATTTGCAATTTCATTTACAAGTGTCTCATTATTGTTCACATTCGACTTTTGTTGATCTTAAATAGCGGCAAACTCAGAGAAGAACTCGGTATAACCCTAAAATATCAAAATAATAGAAATTAACCAGAATTTTATATAAAATAATTTGGGAAATAAAGTTTCATTCCTTACCATATAAAAAATACAGTATCGTCCAATCACCTTTTAAAATAATCATTTAGCATTATGCATCATTATTTTTAACGTGATCCTCAATTAAATAATTTTAAATATACCAGATTTTTCCGTGAGCGAAGAATCTCACATATTCTTGGTACCCCTAGAATTTCACATCCTTGACGATTAATATACACGCGTTGATCTAAATCGTCACCCAAAGAAAGGAATAAAGTTATATCAGTAAGGTAAGTCCATGTTTGGCCGAGAGCTGGTTTTTTATTTATTGAAAAAACTGGTTTATGGTCATATGGACGAGCATTTTGAACCGAATTGGTAATCTACAAACCAAAATTATAAGAATCGAAAACCTTTAAAAATAATAAAATAATGAATGTCATTTTAAAGCAAAAAAGTACCAATATCGCTATATTATGTTTTTTTGCTAAATTTCGAAGGGTTCGTATAAAAATAGTTATCCTAGAGTATGCTTAAATCTCAAGAATTAAGAAATAATTAAAGATAAATGAAATGCACTAAAATAGTTATTTTCCTTACGATAGTGGTCGATGTTATACCCGAGAAGTGGAGAGAACACCGACGATATCGAATCAATTACTATTAACTTTAAGTTCAAGTAAAAATTATTGATCTCCTATAATGAGAAGACTTATTAATTTCAAGCCGAGCGCATTGATGAAAAAGAAATAATTAACCTTTTGCTGAAACTGTAGATTCAGATCCTCGATTACATTCAATAGATCATCCTCATATATACAGCCCTTCTGAATGTGGATTCTATCAGATATGCTATCAGCATCCTGTTTGAAAAATGAAAAATAATCTATGCATATTTAACAGCTAAATAGTCAAAAACAAAAAAAGCTTAAAAATTGATTAGGATTAATTGTTTACCATTCCTCGTTCTCTTGCATCTGCGAATTGATCGCTCTCCAAAAATAAAGTTCTAATATAATTTGCGCATGACCCATTCTTTGTATCAATGAGCAAGGCTGTGTTTTCTTTATTCAAACATGTTATTGATATTAGTGCAGAGTAACAAAGCTGTTTATAATGAATTAATCAATTTCAAATAATTATTTTAAATAAATTAAAATACGATTGAAAAAAGTCAAACCCGAGTTTTTCCAGCAGTAGATTCTCCGCTAATATCCGTAATATCACCAGGTTGTAATCCACCACCTAATAATTCATCTATGCTGTAAGGCATCCAGATTAGTTAAACCTTCATTAATTCTAGTTACAAAGTTTACATTATATAATTTTTACTTCGCGTATCCTATTGATAATCGGCACGAATCACGTGCCTTCAACTCATTTAACATATCAAGGCCATTTTTTGGCAGAACTTTGTTTCGCTCAATGGTTTGACAGCGAATCTTTTGGAATTCCTATTAACAGTTTGTCAGCTGAAAAAGTAACTGATGCGTTTTGCAGCCGTTAAACGCTTACTTCTGGTGAAACACTATGCCTTTTACAGTATTTTCCTACGTTTACTTCACCAAATAGAACCCTTAATTCTATTTATAAAAAATGCGTGTAAGCTTATAACAAGGGAAATAACACGCGTAAAAAAGAATAATTACCTTCTGGTACTCTTGGGCTTTTCGTTTGGTTAATATTATTCATAGTTGCCGAGAATTATTATATGTATGACCTTTTTTTTTAGAATAGTAATGGTAAACGGTATGTAATAAATAGCGACTCTATCGCGTGATTCTAAATTAAACGAACTTTTAAAAAGATTTTTTAGTACGCCACAAACAATATCATGTGACAATGTAATTTTGATGGCGGATGCTGGGGAAGATCTGATCCACGCACACATTTCAGACGAGGAACGAGGAGTTTCAAAAGTTTAATTCAATTAATTGCCAGCTTGACAACCTTTCGATTAGCCAATTTTTGATTCGTATCACTAGCTATATCAGATATGAAATTTTGTCGATGAAATAATTTCGATAAAGTAGCTTCAGGAAATTGTTCCGAAAAAAAGATGCAAAAAAAGGCCACAGCATTAGAAGGGCTATACATAATTGAAGATTTTATTACAGAGACTGAAGAACAGGAATTAATACGAGCCATCGATTCAAGAATCTGGTGTGGGAATGGTGTTGCGTGCGTAGAAAAATCTTTTTGCAATTTTCAAGTGATACATAGAAATAGTTCAAATCAATTTTTTTTTTTTAACTTCGAAACGGTAACAACTGAAGTCCAAACCCTGAAATGAAAAGACGCACACAACACTATGGTTATGAATTTAGTTACAGATATAGGTAACATCTCACTTTAATGTGTTGCCTATTACATTCGACTTCATTGAATTATTATTACAATTATAGGAAAGTAATACAAAACTTAGGACCGTTACCAACTTTTACTGATTTTATCATTAAGCGATTTAAACAACAAAAAATTATTGATTTTGAAGATGAACCAAATATGTGTATTATTAACGAGTATGAAGCTGGACAAGGTATTTAATATCATAATAATATTATAACAATCTGTATCCATTGAAGAATAACTTTTGATGCATTATAAATTTAGGAATAATGCCGCACACTGATGCTGCGACTATATTTGGTCCGATAATTTTAAGCCTTTCATTATTATCTTCGTGTTTGATGAAATTTACTCATTCTAGTAATCCCGAAACGCAATTTTTAATAGTACTACGTATGTATTTGATCTAATAATCATAATGGGAATTTTCATGAATTGACCATAAATATTTAAATTATTCAGCGCCAAGATCTTTATTAATAATGACAAAATCTTCAAGATATGATTACAAACATTCCATATCTAAAGACATTATAGAATGGTTTGACGGTGGTGAAAATGGAGAAAAACAGGAAATTATTCGAAACAGAAGAGTTAGTTTAACATTTAGAACTGTGCGTAATCCTGAAGCAGATGTGGCTATAAATAGTTGACAAGTATTTCGATAAGTGATTCTACGGGTTTGGCATTTTGTCATTTCGACTTGGAAAGAGCGCGGCACAAATTTCTATTTTTCCAAATGATTAACTTTCATTTATTTAAATGGTAATCGTCCTGCATATTCTCCTAATGTTTTTTATGATTGTTACGTATTAACTGAATTTGATGGATTGATACGTATAGATTAAAAAAGATAAATAGACTATATTTATTTATTATTAATATTTTAATAATTTAATGGATATCAATATAAGTTCATAATAACATGTAGCTGGAGCCAGCGTGTAACCAATTCATTATTAATCTGTGGTTTCTTGAAACATCTAACGTCATCTATAATTTACATAAATGTGTAATTTAGCAAATAACTTAGGATACATAACATAATGGTTCCTTTAATTCTTGGATGAGCACGTGATTGCAACAATAATACGTATAATTTTTTTGAGTAAAATTTATTACAGTGATCTAACTGGTCGATCGTACTATATTCTGTAAAAAAAAACTGTCAATCATGATTTGATTCGCTGATCCAAATCCTGAAATCGGGGTTGCTTTTGATTATCATATATAAGTATCTTAAAGTTGATTTGTCACATATAAATTAGAAATGAACCTCCTCTAATCCAAAAGTACTTCAAAAAAAAAAAAAAATGGCAAATCGAGGTCGTGGCGGCTGTTACAAGTGTGGAGAATGTAAGTGACTTCCTATTAAGTTGTATTTTTTTGTTTGTTCTTCTAAATTCATTATAAATTGTTAGCTGGACATTTGGCTCGTGATTGTTCTCTTAGCGCTGTCTGGTAAGTTTCATATACCTAAACCTTATTTAACAAATGAAGAATGTTCGCAATTAGCTTATACAAGCTTCTTTAATATTCTTAGCTATAACTGCCAGTACGTTCGGGAAAGCTTCCCAATTTCGTTTATATATTAGCTTCTTGTTATTTTGACCAGCTTAATTCATTAAACTCGACGCGAATATAACTAAATAGCAAAGAAGGACATATTAGGTATGGATCAACCAGTTCTCACAAATTAAAAAATTTATGTTAATGTGTTTTAAATAACTTTAGTCGTGATTGCACGGAAACACCTAAAGAAAAAACATGTTATAAATGTGGAGATGCAGGTCATATTGTATGTAGCTACAATAATTTTGAGTTGTTAAATACTCGAGCAACTAAAGTGATAATGGATAAAATTTTTTTTATAGAGTCGCGATTGTTATTCAGATTCTGCGACTGGCAATTCTGGATCGAGATGCTTCAAGGTGCATAATCTTATAAAGCGTTATATCATGCGTTTACATCTTATTTACACATTTTATAACTTTTATTAGTGTGGTAAAGTATGTACATCAATTTTACAAGCATCTTTAATTTGAAATTTTTTATTATTTATGAGACGATCAAAACCCTTTATTTATTAGCCGGGTCATATAGCTAGTAATTGTAATAACGAATCATTCGAGGATGATTTTAACTCGGACTATCGTACGCGCGATTATAACTCTGAATGCTTTAAGGTATGTAAATGACTTAAATTTTCATTTTTTGATTTTACATTAACCCAATATATATTAAACTTTTATGATTTTTACTAGTGCGGAAAGGTAACATTATAAGAATAGAAGTAAATTAAATGACTGATAATATATTAATTATTCAAAATTTCATAGACTGGTCATATCGCACGTAATTGTTCGACGAACTCTGAATGCTATAAGGTGAGTTGTGTTTATAAAACATATAATACAGAAACGTTTTAACAAAATTATGGTCACTGATCTATAATTTTTTTTAATTGTTATTTTATAGTGTGGCCAGGTATAACCTAATTCATGAATAAATGTGAATCTTAATATATAATAAATTTATTAATATTTATCATAAAATTATTCTAGTCAGGACATATCGCCCGGAATTGTGAGATGAATGACGATAATTATTTCGATGATTATAATTCTGGGTCAAGAAACAATTCAAGTTCAGCATGCTATAAGGCGAGTGAATATCTTAAACATTTTCTCGTAAATTTTAATAATAACTAAATATACGATAATTATTTATTTACAGTGTGGAAAGGTATTCGAAGAAGTCCCCTCTTTTTAACAATGTTACATCAAGCGCTTCTTAATTTTAATCATTTTATCTCAGACCGGACATATCGCACGCAATTGTTATTCGAATGATGATTATAATACTGGCTTCACATCTAAAACTTGCTACGGTTGTGGTGGTAATAAGAATTTTCAATTTTTTTGTAATTACTTAATACTAATTCAATACTAATTCGAATCTAATATTTCCTTTTAATACTTTTAATTGGTTTAATGATAGGACATGGACATCTTCAACGGTATTCTTTGTTTATGAATTATAACTTTTTCTTTAAGCAGCGACTATTTAACTTAATATTCTTTTTTATTCTTCCAGTGACTGTGTCAAGGCCCAGAAATGCTACAATTGTGGTAGATCTGGTCATCTTAGTAGAGATTGCGATTCTCCTCAAGGATCTAAAGTTTGTTATAATTGCCAACAGGTATTAATCGAAATACATTTAATTGATATTCTTAATTGTAATAACTTATAAATTATTATATAGGAAGGTCATATTCGAAAAGATTGTCCTAAAGTTGGCGCAGATTAATACTATATAATTATTGATGACGTTCATCTGATTCACAATATATTAACGATATTGTAAACAAAGTTTGCTTGTAAGAAAAATTGTATTTTTGTATAATTTTGTACAATGCTCATATAATATGAATTAATAAAGGCTTTTTCCAAGATGTATTTCAATAATTTTTTCGATTGAATATTACAAAAATCAATTGTTATATTCTGCTTGTTATATTTACTAAACTATTTCGAAGTTTCTATGATGTTTAAACATATTTAACCAAAGAAATAAAATATCGATGAAATCGAATTTACTACTACTAATTATTCAACGTAACCTTTTCCTTTATATCCCTCAGATGATATTCCAGTTATTGGATCTGCTTTCTGACGAAGCATTTTTTCATTAGTGGCTTCTTGCCATTCTTTAGTTAAGGTCCTCGGATGTTCGGGAACTTACACAAAAAACATATACATAAGTATACAATAACTAGTAGTGCGAAATAAGTTACATTATGGTTATATTAACTAAAGGGGCATACCTGCTTTATGGGTAAAAAGAAGGAATCCTAAAGATGCTGCAAGAACACCGCCAACCCCAATAAATACCTTACTCGTGTGACCTGGTCCAATAAATGGTTCTCTCGGACCATGAGGTCCAAATGAAACATAGTAAGCTAAAGAATGTTAAATTTTGTTAATAAAATGCTTACGATATGGTTTTAGATAAATAAATATAAAATTTTAAGACATTGACCTGCTCTTTTATCGTCAATAGATAGCTTATTCCAGTCCTGCTTTTGTAGTTCTTCAAGTTTCTTTATGAGATTAGATTTGTCGGTTTCTGATAAAGATTTCCATTGATTTTCTATGTTGGCAATTGTAGGATTGGAAATTGTTGAAGCATTTCTATAATTGATTTTTTTTAGAACTGTATAATTGAAACGATTGACTAAGCGAAACATCATAAATTTTAAAAAAAAATTTCAAGATGAATGATCTGAAAATTGATAATCTTGATTTTTAAATAGTTTTGATAAATTGATGCAGATATTTGATTGGTGGCAATTTTAACAGATTATTTTTGTAGTGTAATGATCGCGTTTAGGTTATGTAGCTTGTAACATCTTCGTGCAGGAGATTTACAGCCAAAATTTCCTCGTAGTTCCGGGTCATTTTGTAGATTGCTGCATACTGTTGTAATGGTGATACGTAAAACTTCGTAAATTTATTAACTGGTAGTAAAATTAACTACAGTACAGGACAGTAAAAGACATCCAATCTATACATATAGGCGCCAATTTTTGGTGCTTACATAATCAATTCTGATTGGCTAATTTTTGTGCAATTGATTTTGATTGGTTAAAAATCTATATATG